GTACTGGGTGAGACGAGGTTATTGGACCTGAGATCAGTGCAATCGGACTTATGTAGGGTATATTAAAGAGCAAATATCGTTATTCAGTTCAGAATGAGGTAATGGTCCTTGTCAGGAGGAGAGACTCCATGATTTGTTGATTCGGTAAGTGGTTATTAGTTTCTACACAAATCTTCCGTCGTGGCAGTAATGCGAGAGTTGGAACAAGACTTATATGCGTCATGAGGTGTATTGCGGGCATCCGATTCATGAAATTCCAGCTATTGTGGTCGGAGGATGTTGTTATGGGCAACCGACTTATGTGGTGCATGGTGTGACTTCAGCATAGGTGTATGATCGTGTTTTGGTACAATGTGTAGTGATTGATATGGTGTTCATATGTTAGAATTAGGTCTTGTAGAGAAATTCAGAGGTTGGAATTTGGTTCTAAGGCTTATTGACTAAATAAAAGGCAGGATCTTCAGTCTCGCTCGAGCTAATGTCATCAATTGGGTTGTGGTGGCACGGGTAGGTGCACAAGGTGTTGAACAGAGATTATGGGGCAACTCCGGAGCATTTCTCAATATGTTCGAGGATAAACGAACGTATGTTTAAGTGGGGGAGAATGTAACGATCCGACCAGTCATTTTAAACTTTAGCATGTCGTTCGGCGGTTTGAGGCCTCGAGTAGCTTCACTTAAGGTATTATGACTCGTACGTGTGGTCGGAATTGAATTTCGGTAAATGCAGAGTTGATTTGGAAAGAAAATTCTAAATTCGGAAGCTTTAAGTTGGAAGAGGTAAACGACCTCGGAATCGGGATTTAAAGGTTCCAATAGGTTCGTATGATAATTTTGGACTTGAACGAATGTTCAGGTTGAATATCGGGTGGTCTGAGAGCACTTCAGCACTTATTATGGAAAGTCTGCATTTTGAATATTTAAAATTTTGTTATGTTTAGTTTGAAGTGGACTTGGGTAATATCGATGTTCATTTGAGGTTCCGAGTCTTGGAATAGGTTCGTATTGTGATTTATGACTTGTGCGTAAAGTTTGGTGTTATTCCGGAATGTTTAAGTATGACTCAGACGCGTTCGTCGAAGTTTAAAAGTTTGAAGTTTATAGAAAGGTTTTGATCATCGATTCATAGCTTTGATGTTGTTTAGCTTGATTTAAGGTTTAGACTAAGTATGTGTTGTGTTTTAGAACTTGTTGGTATGGCTGGATAGGGTCCCGGGGGCCTCGAGTGCGAATCGGATTGGAATCGGATTGAGATTTGGACTTAAGGAATGGCTGAAGCTTAAGGCTTCTGGTGTGATCGCACCTGCGAGGTTATGGCCGCAGGTGCGAGACCGCAGAAGCGGCCCAAGAGTCTCATAAGCGGTTGGGTTTGAGGTTGGTTGGATTCGCAGGTGCGAGAAATTTACCGCACCTGCGGGCTCGCAGATGCGGGCGGAGGAGCGCAGAAGTGGAAGTGGTATGGGGCTGGAAGATCGCAAGTGCGAGTGTTGTAGAACACCTGCGGAGCCGCAGATACGATCATGGGCGCGCAGGTACGGGGGCTGCTCGAGCTGGGGGGTCCGCAGTTGCGAGTGGTTTCCGCATAAGCGGATGCACATCTGCGATTGAGTGTCTGCAGAAGCGGAAAGCTTGCATGCATCTGCAAGATAGCTTCCGCATAAGCGGAGCCGCAGAAGAGCAAGGAGTTCCGCATATGCGAAAAATCGACTGGGCAGAATATATATGCTAGCCAATGCGGGATTTGCTCATTTCATCTCATTTTTCTCTCTTGGTGCAGACTTTAGGGCGATTTTGGAGAGCTATTTCATCCACCTCTTGGAGGTAAGTGTTTCTAAATCACTTTTGATTAATATTTCATGAACACATATGGAATTTTAACATGAAAATTAGTAGAAATTGGGGGATTTTGAAAGAAACCTAAAATTTAGTATTTTGGATTTTTATCCACGAAATTGGACATGGAATTGGGGAATAAATTATATATTCTAGTTCGTAATGTGATGGATAATATTTATCTTTGTAAATTTTCAGAATCCGGACATGTGGGTCCGAGGGTTGACTTTATTGACTTTTCGAGCTGAGTTGGGAAGTGTTATGAAGTAAGTAATTATAATGTTGGAGTGTATATTTATTGGTTTGCACATTATTTGACTAGTTTTGGATCGACGGGCATCGGTTTGAGATGTTAGAGAGGCTTTGGAACCGGTTATGAAACTTCGGAGCGAGGTAAGTCTCCTGTCTAACTTTGTGAGGGAAAAACTACCCCTGGATGATGTAATTGTTATGTGCTAATAGTTTTGGGTGATACGTATACACGAGGTGACGAGAGTCCGTACATAGCTAAAGCATATTTATGTCCGGGTAGACTTAGGACTTTACCATGCATTACTTGAAATATTTGAATTCATTCTGCTGGCTTAATTAATTGAAAATATAATTGAACTTGATTTAGAAATACATGCATATATATTAGGCCGAGCCTTATCACCTTGAGTTGTTGGCTAGCTATTTAAGAAACGGTAAAGATTATATTCACTTTGTGCTCATGTACAGTATTGTAAGCACGTGTCTCGTAATTCGGTAACTTTCTTCATTTCTTGTGGAGCGGGCCGAACGCCTCGGCAGTATAATAGATGCATCTATGGTTCGTGTCGCTCGACCCTCGGCAGTGTACATATTATTCTGGATCGGGCCGAACGACTTCGGCATAATCGTGCGTTATATAGCTGGCAGTCCGAACATTCACGAGATTATCTTTCCACTGATGCCCCGTGTTTTATATGGTACTTCTTATCCATTTGTTACTCGTACTTGATACATCTGAGTTGTTGAGGTAGAATACAAGAATGAGGAATTCATACTTTAAAAGGAATATTTGGAAGATTAGGTAACTTACAAAATTACCCCATTATTGTTGTGTGCTTCACATCTGCTTATGATTTACTATATTATTTTTTTGGACCACTAGTAAGTGTCGATGTCGACCCCTCATCACTACTTATCCGGGGTTAGGCTAGATACTTACTGCGTACCCGTTGATTTACGTACTAATATTGCACTTCTGCACTAAATGTGCAGGATCTGACAGGTTCATTTGGTGATCATCTTGGTGCATAGGCGCAGCTATTGAGGAAACTTTATGTGAGCTGCATACCAGGCTACGCATCGCAGTCCACAGAGTCTCCATCGTACTATTTATTTTATCCTGTCTCATTTATATTCTAGACAAATATTGTATTATTTTTGTACTCCTTAGAAAATGTTTATGCACTTGTGACACCAGGTTTTGAGATATACTAGTTGATGCTTATGGTTCCGTATATTTTTATCGCCATTCATTTCTCTTATAAACTACAAATTTTGCATGTTCCCATGGATTTAAAGTATAAATTTCTTTCCTTATTAAGATTCATGATTTCGAAAGTAATAAAATGGGTAATCAAATTGATCAATCGCCGTTGGCTTGACGGCGTTAGGCGTTATCACAACCAATAGTGGATTTTGGATCGTGATAAAAAAGAAGGGTTTTAAACCTAGAAGTAAAATGGATTACTTTCAGTATCAAATGATGCAAGACTGTTCGAATTAAGTAAGAATTGATTTGTTTAAGTTTTCAAAATTATGTTGCTTAATTTTAGGTTTTAGCAGCTTAACCAGAACATCACTTAAGCCCAGAGCTAACTAGTAATCCTCCAAATATTTTAAGCACGACAAAGCATAGTATTTTGTGCGGGCCATATAAATCAAAGTTGAAGTATATGATAAGTTTGAGTACTTATATCTTATTGGCTTTTGTTCCGCATAAGTGATGCTATTACTATCTAATACTTTTTCCATTATTTATTTTAAAATATTTACTTAATTAATAAAAACTAAATTCACATCGAAAAATTAAATGAGTTATTCTCAAATTCTCCTTGAACCGAGCTTCTATCGGAAATAATCCCTCTATTTCTATAAGATAGGGGTAAAACCTCCTTACACACTACCCTCCCCAAATTCTATTTATGGGATTACATTTAATTTTTTTTTTTTTTGTTGTTGTTATTATTTTATTCACAAATCATATTGAATATGAGGTAGAATAGAAAATACTAAAATATCTTACCAATAAAAAAGGTCAGGATCTTGATTCTTGAACACCTAATCCTGGCTCCTGAGGTTGACAAAGAGTCACACTTAAGTAAGGCAAATAATTAGTCCAACAGGAAGGGAGTACAAAAAGTAGGGGTTGGCATTTTCTTTTGAAGTTGGTTTCCTGGTTCCTTACGTATACAAATCCGTACAAACCTATTTTTAATATGTTTAGTACTCTGATTCTTAAAAGCAAAGCCAAGGATTGCGCAATTTTAGTACTTGTTGGTCAGAACCTAAGTAACAGGACCTAACTTTCACTATTCAACGTGGCATACCAAAAAGTCAATCCAATCTTTGATGCCCCACTCATTTTTGATTGTTTGGCCTTTGCAAGCCTACAAGCGAATGGTAATCCGGTGTGTGAGACATCATGTATTCTAAAAGGGTTTGAAAAAGAGTCGTACCCCCAATGAAGTATGATATAAATATACTATTCTAATGCCAGTAACGAATTTCACGGCTCAACCTATTACTTATAAGTCACATACAGACAACCAAATCGTTGCCCCAAGGCTCCCCTTCAAACATAAAATGTATTCCTTTTTAAACCGAAGATATCTTTGACGGGCAGGAATTTATCCCTCTACTCTTTTCTACTTAGATAAAGATTGTGACAAACATAAGACAACGGATTATTGTAAAGGTAAATTCACAAGTCTACTTAGCATCAAATTGAACACAAACAAATTTGTAGCTTGGTGGAATATACACCAAAGACTCGACTCATTTTGTAACAGTAGGGAGTGCGCACTCAAATGGTTCAGCAAAACAATGGGGATTCAAATTCTTTAATCTTTCCAAATACTATGTACCGAATCAATGCCTCCGTTACAAGTTTTGCTAGCAAAATATGAAAGAACATGATTGACCATGGAGCTCAAATGGAATATACTCAATAATAGTCAAGAATTGTCAAAGCAATGTAAAAATGCTGTCCTGCTAAAAGATGTGTAGCTTTTTGAAACTTTATACAGCAAATTTAACAAGTTTCACACTGCCTCATTCCTAAGAAAACTAGAATTCAATTAGTTCTACGTCACATTTTTTTTGTCCTTCGAGCATCTTTCCCAGAGCAGAGGAAGAAAAGATATGGGGTGGTTGTTTTTTTTAATCAAATAGCAAACTACTTCAACTCCTGCAGTAATAATGAGCAAAGTTCATATTGGCAAGTGATGGCGAATGATGATAAGGTAATGGCCCAGTAGAAAAGTGGTGCTGATGAGCAGCAGCTGAGGTTGAATTAGCGAATCCTGATGATGCTGCAGTAGAGAAGAGTGGCATTGAAGGACTCCCACCATAAGGATGTTGGTCTTGCCGAGTCCAATTTGGTGAAGAATCAACTTCCATACCTTTCCCTATTGCTGTTCCCTGTAAGGAGCATAATAGTATTTTGTTCAATGCTTAAATCAAAAATCAAATTGACAAAATGTATAAATTTTTCAGCCAGTAAGAACAGTAATTACATAAGACAACAACAAATTTGTGTTTTCTTAAAGCTACTCCTATCAATATCAGATAAGAAAACTGGATATTAAGACCTAAGACAGAAGTTGATCTATCCCTTTTGATTATATGCTACATATATGCTAGTGAAACTCTTTAAATGTCATGAATACTATACGAAGATGATGCGGTTCAAGCCGATAAAGAAACGAGGTTACATAGAAATACCAGTAGCTTCCTATCTAGTTATCTAAGGAACATTATACTAAAATAAGCATCAAGTAACTGGGACTTCTACCTGGCAGTGAATGCTACAGTTACCACTCGAATAAGTGGAATAACTCGAAATGGTTCAATCAATTTTGACAAAGAGTACCTTAAATGTGGGAAAGACACTGGTGTTCACTCCATTCCAGAGCAGAGGGCGATCAGTCAGCGGTTGACGGCCATGAGGCAGTTTACTTCCCATTGTGGTAGAAGGAGAGCGCTGCAAAAAGATGCTCAACTATGAATGTAACTACCAATCTTCCTTCGTGAGACATCTCATAAGTAGATGACTCAAAAGAATCAGAATGAAGATCATGGAGTCAAAATTACCATGGCTCCTCTATATTCAGTCAAACCATTTGAGGCAAGAAGGAATTCAGTGTTTCCCATTTGGCATGTGTTGCCATGCTGTTCATCAGCTTGTGAAGAGGAGGCTATTCCCAGGTTCAGATCTAGATTATGGCTTGCACCTACATAAGGATGGAAAAATAGGTCGTTTAACATGCTAGGTACAAGAGTAAAGACGCAACTATCATAATGGAGTTCAAATATGTGGAAACGCCTAAAACAATAGTACCTCCATTATCCTCAGCACTTAATTCCCCTTCATACGTGCTCAGCTCAAAATTGGTGACTGCCTCCCTTCCGCTGCATTTTATAACAGCCTTGTCATACGCCCTGCGCAAGAGCAAAAGACCAAGTCTATTCAATGTTGAAAGGGAAAGCAACATAATGTAAAAGGGAGGGGAGAGTCAAGTTATGATCATTGGACCTTGCCGCTTCTATCTCACTGTCAAACAGTCCAAGATAGATATACCTGCAGGCATATATACAATGAGACAATATTCCCTCTAGTTTATAAAATCACTATATTGATATGATAAGGGACCAAGAAAGCTTTTAAACATTTATATCACTAATAATATGATATGCCTAAGCTATGGTGAGATAAGTGGTAACTCACTTCTTTCCAAGAAACTGTCCCATCCGAGCTTCCCATCGTCCACATTTGTGCAGTGTGACCCCCCTGTATTTCGAACTTCCTCTAGAGAAACCAGTGCTCTGACGTCTAAGTATGTGCACAAACTCTTCCTTTGTAAAATTCGACATCTGTATACCAGTCACAAGACAATTAAAACGAACCAAAATCAGTTTCCTAATTGAGAAAAAGGATTTCAAACTTAGGTGGTTCAACAATTAGCTATCCAACTGACCTGCTTTAGATCATCGTGATAATCAGCGACATTGAAATTGATATCTGCATCAAGTCCTCTAAATTTAATGGCAGCACGATCATATGCCCTGAAATTAGCAGGGAAATTAAATTTAATACAATAACAATCCGATTTCTCCATTTAAACACAATCAAAAAATTACTTCACTAATAAAATTCATTCTAACATTAACTTACCTAGCAGCAGCATGTGCAGTGTCAAAGCCGCCTGTAACATTTATTTAAAAAGTTCAAAAATGTCCAAATGAAGCTTGCAGTTTAAAACAACTCAAGAACAGAGTAACAAAAAACTATAAATCAACAACAGTATTGTATAACAAACACATTTGCTTACCCAAGTAAACCTGTTTCCCGCAATCCCTGCATAATACCATCATAGAAACTTTGTTAAATTTCTAGCTTTAACTACATACTCCATATTTTATCCGCATTACATCAGCACACCGCAATAGAATAATTATGAGTCCCTCTGTAAACTTATCATTATACGCACCCTATTTGCAATTTTGCATACACGCAATTGGAAACAAAAGGATTTGAGTTATATACATTGATAGTTTAACTTTGTTATCTTTTTTTTTACAAAATATCAGTGTAATTTAACCGTTAATTACCATTATTATCAGATTAATAATTAATGTAATGGAAATATTTATCTGTAAGTATCTTATAAGTTAAAGTAAAAATTCACAAAAAAAAATGAAAGAAGAACAGACCAGATGTGAGATTCCCATCGACCAGTGCGGCGATAGAAAGTGACACCACGGTATTGAGAACTCTTCGACCTGGGTCCTCTTCTACTCTTCTTCACTTGTTGCCTCTGCTGCGGAATAACAACTATCCTCTGCTCCGCCGGACCACCGTAATTAGCCGAGAGATCCAACCACTGCTGCCGCGACAACAACTCCGTCGCCGCCTCTCCGCCAGTCAACGGGAACAACTCCTTGGTAACAAACTCACTCTCCTCGTAATCATTCCCTTTAAGAATATCAAATGCGTAACCATCATTACGGCGACGATCATCGGAACACGAAAAAAACTCATCATCGCCGGCAGTACTGGAAGTTTCAATATTCACAATGGATGAATTCGATGTTCCAGAATTCTCCATTTGAAGTTCTTGCAGCTTCTCCGACGTCGTCGTTTCGTATGAAAGATGAACAGTGTCATCATCCATGGCAAATTCTTCGAAACCGAGATTGAGGTCAAACATCTCGAAAGTACCACAGTTTGTTTAGCAGAAAGTACAGAAAAAAGAAGAAGAATCAAAACAATGGGGAAGGAAGGAATGTGTGATACAATTACGTGAATAGTTAGTTAACAGTGTACACACATTGATATTTATAGT